ATTTTTAGTATTTTATTTGGTATCGGATAATTATATGTTTTTGTTTTTGCATTTAAATTTCTATAATCTATAACCATACGGCTTTTTCCTCGTTTTTTTGTTCACTATGCTTATTTACTATAAATGCCGTACTAGTATGTTTACTATTACTTTCTAGTATGTACTTATTGTCTAATAATTCCTTTATATGCATTTTAAATTCTGTTAAATCATTAAAATTGTATTTTAAAGGTCTTTGTGTTATTATACTATTTTCATCTATTAGTTCAATCTTTATTTTTGTTTTATGTTTTCCCCATCCTTAGAGTGGATTATCATTATATAGTAATTCTAATTTATCTTGTAGTAGTTTTATTTTATTTATTGAAAAAATAATTATTTCTATGTTATGGTTGCTTTGTATTACATTTTCTAATTTTTGGGTAATCTTTTCACTTCCTTTAATCCAGGGTGTTGTTTTTCTTACTTTATTATTTACTCTTTTTGCTCCTAATTTTTGTTTACACGGGGTAGTAAACCACCAATGTGTTTTTGTTATAATATGTGGGTATAATTTATCTAAAAATGGCATTCCTAATAATATATCTTTATTTGTGAATTCGTAACTATATATTTCTTCTATGGTTAATATTTTATCCCATATTTGTATTTTTATATTTCTTGCTTTATATGTTATCATACTTCCTTCATTATTAAATCCTGTTACTACTATGGGGGTTTTTAGCTTTTCCCATTTACTTTCTGGTAAACAATTATGTCTACACATATTAGCTTCTGCTCCTGTATCCACCATAGGTGTATAATATCTATTATAATATCCTTCTACTATTATTTTGGAAAGTATGTATATCTTTGGCATTATATCAAAGTTCTTTTTATTATTATTTTCTTATTTTCATAACTTATTGTTAATTGCCTATCTTCTAATTTATATGGTTTGACTTTTTCTAACCATTTTATTCCTAGTGTAATATTTTTATCTCCTTGATATATTTTAAAATTTATTAATATTGGTATTCCTCCAATAATTAATTCTTTTTCAGTTGTTTCTTCGTTTTTTCTTAACGCTTTTGGTAGTTCTGAATTTTGCTGTTCTATTGTCACTATCTCTTGTTCTGGTATTAATTCTCTTATAACATAATTCTCTTCCTGCCCTGTATTTATTAATATTAAATATTTTTTTTGGTCCATTATTCCCGTTATATAATAATGATGTGGGTTTATTTCTTCTATTTTTTGTTTTATTAATTTTTGTGGAGTTATATAATTTATTCTTCTTGATGTACTTCGTGATGTACTTATTCTTGATGACGTTTCTGGCATTTCATTATTTGTTCGTTTTGACGTGCTTAA